GAGGCGGAGTTTGCAGTGAGTTGAGATCACGCCACTACACTCCAGCCGGGATGACAGAGACTCTGTCTCAAAAAAAAAAGAAAAGAAGAACAGTGTGGCTCAAAACTGTGGCTTCGCATCTCCAACCAGTTTGACTGTGCTGGCAGGGAACTGTGGGGAGAAGTAGAAGCAACCAGCTGGAAGTTCTTCTCAAGCCTCTCAAAGATGAGTCTGGAATAGGGAAAGCCCTTGGCATCGTCTACCAAATTAGCTCTTGGAGATCTCACCTCACTTGTTTTACCTAAATAGGTGAACCTGTTCCATGACCAGCCCAAGAAATTAGTTTAGTGCCAAGTAAGAGTAGGTAAAAGCCATATTTAACCACTTTTTTATGGCCTCAGGCCTGTTGCCATTTCTCATCAATTCACATCCATGATTTTAGACACACACACGTGAATTCATCTTCCCATCTACATCTCCTTGTTTTTTTCCCCAGCTAAGCTGCACCAGATTGCCGGGCCCACGAGGTTGGCCTCAAAACACCCCACACCCCAAGGCCCCCGGAAAGAGCTGAGCCAGAAGGGCAAAGCCAGAGCCAAGCAGACCGGGAGTCGAGGCCTGCCCTTCCTGCCAGCTTTCCCACCAGGCTCCCTGGCACCACAACAGAGTGATGCCTTTGATTCTTTCCCTCAGATCATGCTACAGTGATCTTGACTCTTGCTCTGTGTTGGTGAGCTGCGAGTCTGTTACAGCTCATCTGACCTTTGTAGTAAGAAACACTGTTTGCCTTTCTTCCTTCTCCCTCATTTTAGTGCAGGTTAATGCGACGGTGCTCTCAAGAGGCACAATGACATCTTTTTACAAACTAGACTAGGCTTCAAAGTGCAGACTTCAGTTCAGGGATATAAAAATAAATGTAGTATATGTGTTAAAAGATATTAGCTGTGCCTGCAATCTTTAGCCTTTTTTGGAAAGTTTCTTTTCTCCCTTTGAAAGTTGTCTTAAGCTACTTTTTTAACTTATATATTTTATTTATATTTTATATATACACACATATATATATATATATTTTAAGATGGAGTTTCTGTCGTCCAGGCTGGAGTGCAGTGGTGTGATCTCAGCTCACTGCAACCTCTGCCTCCTGGGTTCAAGCAATTCTCCTGCCTCAGCCTTCTGCTGTGTAGCTGCTGGATTTACAGGCTCACGACCACCCATGTCCGGCGTTGATTTTGTATTTTTAGGTAGAGATGGAGTTCACCAGTTTTGCCAGGCTGTCTCAGATTTCTGACTTTTCATGTGATTCAACCACCTTGGCCTTCCCAAAGTGCTGAGATTACAGGTGTTTGAGCCCACTGCACCTGGCACTAATTTAAAAAAAATATAATCCTCTGCCAGGGCAGTAGTCAAACCTGTAATCCAGCACTTTGGGGATGCCGGGCAGGCGGTCACCAGAGGTCAGGAGATGGAGATCATCCTTGGTAAACGTGAAC